GTATGTTAGATGTTGTGTGATGAACTCAGTGAAGTGTCATGTCACGAGAGCAGAGACTGCCCAAACGACCGCAGTACTCGCTGTGTAACCACCAGAGTCGTGCAATACACGCTGAGGCGAGGACTCAGGCTATGAGACAACTAAGGTATGTATGTTAGATGTTGTGTGATGAACTCAGTGAAGTGTCATGTCACGAGAGCAGAGACTGCCCAAACGACCGCAGTACTCGCTGTGTAACCACCAGAGTCGCGCAATACACGCTGAGGCGAGGACTCAGGCTATGAGACAACTGAGGTACGTATGTTAGATGTTGTGTGATGAACTCAGTGAAGTGTAATGTCACGAGAGCAGAGACTGCCCAAACGACCGCAGTACTCACTGTGTAACCACCAGAGTCGTGCAATACACGCTGAGGCGAGGACTCAGGCTATGAGACAACTGAGGTACGTATGTTAGATGTTGTGTGATGAACTCAGTGAAGTGTAATGTCACGAGAGCAGAGACTGCCCAAACGACCGCAGTACTCACTGTGTAACCACCAGAGTCGTGCAATACACGCTGAGGCGAGGACTCAGGCTATGAGACAACTAAGGTATGTATGTTAGATGTTGTGTGATGAACTCAGTGAAGTGTCATGTCACGAGAGCAGAGACTGCCCAAACGACCGCAGTACTCGCTGTGTAACCACCAGAGTCGCGCAATACACGCTGAGGCGAGGACTCAGGCTATGAGACAACTGAGGTACGTATGTTAGATGTTGTGTGATGAACTCAGTGTACTGTCATGTCACGAGAGCAGAGACTGCCCAAACGACCGCAGTACTCACTGTGTAACCACCAGAGTCGTGCAATACACGCTGAGGCGAGGACTCAGGCTATGAGACAACTGAGGTACGTATGTTAGATGTTGTGTGATGAACTCAGTGAAGTGTAATGTCACGAGAGCAGAGACTGCCCAAACGACCGCAGTACTCGCTGTGTAACCACCAGAGTCGCGCAATACACGCTGAGGCGAGGACTCAGGCTATGAGACAACTGAGGTACGTATGTTAGATGTTGTGTGATGAACTCAGTGAAGTGTAATGTCACGAGAGCAGAGACTGCCCAAACGACCGCAGTACTCGCTGTGTAACCACCAGAGTCGCGCAATACACGCTGAGGCGAGGACTCAGGCTATGAGACAACTGAGGTACGTATGTTAGATGTTGTGTGATGAACTCAGTGAAGTGTAATGTCACGAGAGCAGAGACTGCCCAAACGACCGCAGTACTCACTGTGTAACCACCAGAGTCGCGCAATACACGCTGAGGCGAGGACTCAGGCTATGAGACAACTGAGGTACGTATGTTAGATGTTGTGTGATGAACTCAGTGAAGTGTCATGTCACGAGAGCAGAGACTGCCCAAACGACCGCAGTACTCACTGTGTAACCACCAGAGTCGCGCAATACACGCTGAGGCGAGGACTCAGGCTATGAGACAACTGAGGTACGTATGTTAGATGTTGTGTGATGAACTCAGTGAAGTGTAATGTCACGAGAGCAGAGACTGCCCAAACGACCGCAGTACTCACTGTGTAACCACCAGAGTCGCGCAATACACGCTGAGGCGAGGACTCAGGCTATGAGACAACTGAGGTACGTATGTTAGATGTTGTGTGATGAACTCAGTGAAGTGTCATGTCACGAGAGCAGAGACTGCCCAAACGACCGCAGTACTCGCTGTGTAACCACCAGAGTCGCGCAATACACGCTGAGGCGAGGACTCAGGCTATGAGACAACTGAGGTACGTATGTTAGATGTTGTGTGATGAACTCAGTGAAGTGTAATGTCACGAGAGCAGAGACTGCCCAAACGACCGCAGTACTCGCTGTGTAACCACCAGAGTCGTGCAATACACGCTGAGGCGAGGACTCAGGCTATGAGACAACTAAGGTATGTATGTTAGATGTTGTGTGATGAACTCAGTGAAGTGTAATGTCACGAGAGCAGAGACTGCCCAAACGACCGCAGTACTCGCTGTGTAACCACCAGAGTCGCGCAATACACGCTGAGGCGAGGACTCAGGCTATGAGACAACTAGGGTATGTATCTGTAATAGTATATTACGTTACTAGTCCTGAAAATAAATGTTTACTGGACGAGTGTGGTCGTTCCCGTGCGAGACGAAGTCGAGTACGGGATTACCATACGAGTCCGGTACACACATTTTGGACGAGTTACGTACGATAGTTTACGCCATACTACTTAATTCGTACAAATCCTTATATATTTCCACCAACTAAAGGACTAAACATCACCAGTCATAACCTCTAAGATAGGTTATGTTTTTGTTTATAACCAATCATTACCACGCAAATACAGTATAATCAGCTGATTGGTGTCCGGTAAAACTCATTGCAGAACAGTATTACGCAATGGAACCCCATTTGAATAAGCTAGCGGCAAACAGATGTTTTCTGGACTAAATCCTTGCGTGGGAAGTTCGTCAAAATAATGTAGTGTGGCGTAAACATATTTTGTGCTGTTATATAAAGAATATTAAACAAAACATTGCTTTACTCATGTGTTACAAAGGTTCTCCGTACACAAAGTCTTCAACGAGATAGTAACAACCACAACGAAAGGAATTTTTCAATCTGAATCCAGCACAGTGGCAATTATTTCTTTGACCACTATGTTAGCCAGTTTTGGTTACTATTTGACGAGTATTGTCGTTGTAATAGCCGAAAATAATGTGGGGGGAAATAGACGTTCTCGCTAAGTATTATAAATCGCTCCCTCCGTTTACATTTCTAAGGTACAAAATGTTTGCAATGTCTTCGATAGCGTTGTCTGCATGCGGTTATTCATCAGGTTCGTTTAAGGTAGTGTGACCAACCAGTGAAATTTGATATGCAAATCGCTGTGCGACTGATTTTATCTTAGATTCGGACTAAGGACAACGATGAACTGTAAAGTCCTAACCATGCCGATCCATGGGCAAACTTTTTTATTTAAAAAATGTCAGCATAATTTTTACCGATCAATATCAAACGTGACCACAAATATTGTGTTTGTAGCTTTATCATGTTCTGGAACTGAAATTAATTAGGCCTAACAATACAAAACGTACTTCCGAAGCAATAAAATACTACTAATTGCTTCTTGCTTAACTAAGAATTCGTTAGTTAGTACCGTATTTCTCTGGAATAAACTTGGGAGTTGTTGATAGTTCAAAAACGTTTGGTCTGTAAACGTCCTATTTACTCCATACAAGTTTAGTTTTATTTGCATACAATGTGACCAATAACCTAAACCCAATTTTAACAAACTTTCATGAATGAAAAAAAAGAAAATCCATTACACTAACTTAAAATATCTCTTTTCAGGCCATTGTTGTTTTCCTATCATCCTCTCGTGGTAGTATAATTCAAAAAATATGCCTGCCTTTGCGTTCAAACGAATTGTCAGTTCACAGTATGTCTAATAGTTGTGCTTGTACCAGATCATACCAAGGTCGTTTGAGTCATCTACATGAATATTGATCGGTCTGACATTGCATCACCGTGGAACTTTTTGTAACTGAAACAGAATTTCAAATTAGTTTTTATTTGTTTCTCCTATCTTAAAACAGTAGGCGGAAACCTACGTTGAGATAATTAAATCATGAACTTCCGGAGGGACCGTATACGTACTTTGTCACTGTTGCTTGATTTTATTTTCCTAACATGTAAATTTATATTATATGTGAATTTATTTTAGTCAACTAATCATGAACATTGAATATTTACAATCTATTTGGATTAATTTCAAGAAAATAGGTTTACGTTTTTTTCTTCATAAGTATGTGTAATTTACGAATTCACGAATATTTATATTTGTACAATAATTTAATTTCGTCTTTAGCGTACGTAATGGGAAATTTTATTTAAAAGTTTTTGATTTGAAATAAGATACTCGCTGTCAAAACAGTACTGTACTGAAATTGTCTTGATAGTATGTTTAGGTTGACTAAGGTTTAATACTATTTCAATGTGAAGAACGTTTCTTAGAATTTCGGCCGAATAAATAGTGAAGTATTTAATGTATCTTCTTTTGAGACTTTCTCAAAAATCGAAAAACGTTAACTTACATTTTAAGGTAAATACAATCCGGCACTATTTTAACCAACTATAAGCTTTATTTTAATTAATTTCTTTTATGGTTATCTATGTATAATTTGTACAATGACCTAGTTCGATAGCTTCTGAGAATTTTAGTATTTTTATAATCTTTCAAATAATGTAAAATTTAACCATTTTACTGCGATGTCAATACAAAGCTTGTACCTTAGTGAAACGCCTGCAAGCTTAAAATGCAATCATCTCTCCTATGTGTGTCGCGGTTTGTATCTAGAGTTTGGAGGACGCGAAGTGTGTTTTTGAATGAATTTTAAAACCGTTTAACCATGGCAAACCTTAATCTTTTTAATCTCTTTGATTACTGTCCTCTTTAAGGTTTCACATCTTATAAATAATATCTTATAAATCGCTTATAGTACAGCATTAAAAACATAATTTTCTAAGTATTTATACTAAATTATATAATTTATGATTTTCTATATGCAATTTTTTCTAAAGCTATTATTATTTTACTCATTTTTGGAATTCTTTATTGGAAAAATCCACAATTTATTTTGATTATGCTTAAAGTGTTTATATCACCTGATTTTAAAATATCCTGGCAATAGTTTCAGACTCGTTGAGTCCATCTTCAGGTGTGACAAAAACATTAGTCATCTATCCAAGTTAGGCAAATCTATCCGAGCCACTGCAAAACAAACATACCTCGAACACACGACGATATACAAAAACGAGTTAACATTAATAATACTGGTCGATACAATTACGGGAGAAATTTGATTAATACGTTGAAATTGATTGATTAATACTTAATATTTGCATTAATACCTTCATTGGCTGTTTTAATGTCGTACAGATTTGTTTAAAGCTATATTCTAATTGTTTCTTGTATGTTGCAGCATGAGGCCGCCTCAGAACGGCAACGGTGTACCAGTAAGGCCGGCGGCCAACGCTAGGCCTATGACCAACGGAGATGCCCACTACGATACAGTCAAGGTAGGTCTACAACCATTGCTCATCTTTATACACCAATAAGACAACGTATGAATGCCTAATGGTTAAATCTTGTAACCTATCGATTGTTTTTTACAACCAAAGAGTAAGTGAGACGTAGCAAAACTAGTAAAATACAGGAATACTAGAAAAATACCGGTATTGATCATAACCAAATGAACTTGGATCGAAAGAAAACTTAACCATATGTTAATTAATGCTATTAGTATAGGGGCTTTTTACGGGCCAAAAACGTCATTTGTTTATGTTCAGGATCCGTACCGTTATTTTTCTAGTAGTGGTAAAATACTAAAATTGATAAAAACGTAATCAATAGAGCTTATTTTTTTCTTCTCCATATATCGGCTCTACACAATTTTTAATTTGTTGTTCTATCCGTCAATTGTTTGAGCGTTACTATTTATCTGTTTTTGTTTCACTGAATTTGGAACATTTTTAGGAATTAAAATTATGTTTATAAGTATTCATTCTCCTTTAGCAACTTTACTATCACTCAAGATTTTTCCAAAAAGCGCAGAGCCATTGTTTAATCTGAAGCCTCTGGAAGTGTGTTTCGCGTTAGTGACTTTTGAGTTGGCTGATTTTGACTAAATATAAATATTTCTTATTTTAGGCTAGATTTTACGATATATTGTACTTTACTTTTTTCTTGTTGTACCAGAGAACAAGCAAGAGTTCATTGTTTTTTGACAATAATATTGAGGTACTTCGCTATACATATTTATGACAGAGCCACCTAAAAATGAAGTTATTCTAATCGAATTGATGTCAAATCTATAATCACTCCCGTACTAATTTCTAATAATATAACTTCAAATTTCTCCTAGTAATATCCAGTGTCTATACTTATACAGTGCATAATCACTAAAATCATAAAGCAAAATCAGCTGTTCCGCTATCGCTAATAGAACAAGGTCGATTAAAAAGAGGAATTTGTTTTTGTCCTTTACTCTTTGCAAGTAGGCCTAGTGTTAAATACAACAGCTGTTTGTGTAGCATGTTCGCCTTCTCGATATTCAGCTGAGTATTCCACGACACGACCATCGTTGTAAACTCAGGCTCAGTTTATCGTTCATTTCCTCCTCCTCCCTCTCACTATGATGTTCAGTGTTGACTCGCGATATCTCAAACCAACACACCCTACAAGTTAGACCTTGCCATTTTCTAATATTTTCCCTAGTTGTATTCAAATTTTACAATCTATTCACCTTTTCCATTTTAAAATCGTAATAGTGTAAAGCTTTGGTATTGCTTAAAATGGTATATCAGTAACTATAAAAATAGTGTAACAAGAGTCCACGAAAGAAATGCAAAACAACTTGTATTTTTTAAAGAACGTTGTCGTTTGGGATTTGTAATTTTTCTCCAAGTCACCCTTTGTGGAAAATGTTAATGTCAGCGCCTGTTTTCCTTTCTCCATAAATTTTAATTTACCTTTGAAATATTGCAACGTGTTTATGTTTTAAATATGAACATTTGATTGTGCAACCAATGCGTTAAACAAGTGCAGAAAATTAATAAAATGCGGTAAAGTTTTAAATAGTTAAAATGTAATCAAACAGTAAAACTCCTATATACTAATAATTCCATTATTAACGTAAAGTCAAATTAATTTTATAAAGTATTGCTATCATCTTTAGCTATTTTCAGTGACTTTTCTAAACACTAAAATAGATTATGGTCGAAAATGACGGTTATTAAAATCGATCAGAAAATCGGTCATGCTGCGACCTGAATGAGCGCCTCTTGCCTTCATTGAAAGTGCAGGCGTTCACAGGAAGTGGTCCAGCTGCACTCTGCTCAGATATAACATTAAAATTGTTAACTAGTACAACATAAATTAATTTAATGCCTTTTAAGACTGTTAGAATAATATATGACGGTAAATATACCTCAGAATGTTCATTTGAATAATTTTACACCATGGCATATTCATACACGTTCATACACATTCTATAATGCAATTAAAAATTAAAATAAAATCTAAACCGGTCTATTAAAATAATTAACTATTAATTAAATTAAACTTATACAGTTCAGCCAAAACTCTGTACTTTACTAGTTGAACATGTCAAAAAGAATCAGCTTACTGGCACGTTATCAATGAAACGCACATCAATGAAACAACATCCTTCAGACGTCGATTCAATTATAAGTTGAGAAGTCTTATTAGCGAATTTCTCATATGGGGGAATAGCGCGATAACTCGAGCAAATTTGAAATTTGAAATTTGGTACAAACGTGTAAACCTACGTTTATTCGAACGAGTTCGTTAACCAGCATAATCGGACCATGGGAACAGGGGTTTATGGGGTAAAAATGGGGTTTTCTAATTTTTTACCCTAAAAACAAAACATTTTGCAGTTTCTTTCTTAACAATTTTGTAGAGCTTAAAAAAAGAAATAATTTAGTAAAATGTTATCAGACAAGTTGAAATTCGCTTGGTCAGCAGGTTTGCTGTGGCGGGGGTATTTTACTATTCCACGTTAAAGGCAATTTGAATACAACCAATCCGGTTGTCAACATTCAGTACTAAATTAGAGTCCTAAATTAGTTCCTGTCCTCTCATCTGAATACTTATTACCCGATCCACGCTGTAACTACGTGATTTATTGTTTTGTTTGCTAATAATGCTATTAATATTTTCCTGAGTCATCACGTCCACCCGGAGATTTGACCTTGACTTTGGCTTGATAACAATGAGCCATCATCCATCAGTCGCCCACCGAGGTACAACTGGTCGTGATCTCAGCTACAACCTACGGCACGGCAACCTTGATTGCGTGATCATATTATACACCGATGTTTTGATTCGACTTTGAAACGTTTTGGATTTATAAACTAAATCTTTGTCTTCGGGAGTTCTTCAAGGAAGTGATTTTTGTGCAAATCAGTTTGCGGTTGGAGTATCAATATGGTCTTGGACGCTAAAGTTAAAATCTTGAAAATTTTTATTGGAGACTGGAATTTAATCATACCTTTGCTTTTTGATTGTGCATCAAGTAGACATTACATTTTTAAGTTGTAGCTAGAGTATTTTTTTGTACAAAATGTGATGAATCGCACTTCTTCATGGTGCTGATTAACTGATTATTGATTGCTCTCGTACGCGCACCGACTTTTTACCTAGTCACACCAGAAGGAAACATTATTGTAAACTATATTATTTTTCTTCTAAAACCAATCACTGTGTTGAGGATTTTTAAGGGAAAATACAACTTTGACTTTACCATACACTGCAAAAGGCTCATTTAGGTGTTCTCATTTAATAGAAAAATGGCTCTTGCTGGTCCATAGACTTAAATATTGGATTTTTAACATCGTGTATTACGTTACAGCCCATAATGTTAAGCGAATGAGCATAGTTGTACCTGCTTTCGACCCTTAGAAAACTAAATTGAGGAATATTTTCCTTGTATTTCATAGAGAACTTCCTCTCTCAGTATATATGTAACATCTATATTATTTTTTTAATGCTATTTTTCACGATTAATGCTTTGAATATATTAAAAATTATACACTGTCTTTTAATAATGATGTCAATATAGCATATGTCTTTCAATCCGTTTTTAGAGTCGGTTAACATTTTAGTTTTTAAAATCAAAAACATAATTTTAGTTAACATTTGTAGGTTTGTATATCGTAAATTATCTTACAAAGTAGGCAACTACACTATACGTTTATTTAACAGCGACACAATTAACATTAGGTGTGCGAGTTGCAACACTATGTTCGTGTTAACATGGTCGTTTATCGTCGTAGTTACGGGTAATCAAGTTAGCAAACAAAAGTTAGTCAATTTGCTACAGCTGTTGGTGTGAGTTGTTGATTTGGGATAGAGGGAAAACAACGAAAACTAATGTTAGAGGTGTACATCAACTAGAGGATAAATTAAATGACTAAGGCCCGATTCATATTTTTACCTAGTCCGTGGACATGTCGCTCGTGTGAACCGGTGTGATTCTGTGGTCCGCTACCCAGTCGTGCTTACCTAGTGCTTACCTAGTCCAAGCCTAGTCTGCTAGGTATGTCGTTCGTGTGAACCGGGCCTAAGGAAGAATTTTATTTTTCAATTTCTACTACTAGCTTAAATATCTCTCTATTAGTTTATTTTGTTCCAAAATTTTAATTGCCAATAAAATGCTTATGTTACGTAAACCGGTTAAAAATTATAGTAATACCGATTACAAAATCCCTTTAGAGTATCAACCTTTTGAATATAACCTACACAATGTCGTGAAGTAGAAATGTTTTCCATAAATGTTGTAACCAAGTTTGGAATAAGATAAATTTATTTAAGGAGGGCAGTTTCTTCTGATGTACAATACATGTCATGTTCTTTTAAACACAATTTATGATGCTGCCAATATGTAAGAGCAGCTCATTGTAAACTACGAGTATGTCCTCATCAGAATGAAAATTTGAAATATCAGGAAATGAATTTACTACATTCTTGAGAGACTTGTCCAAATACCATTTTTTGTTTTGTTTTTTTTTATGAGAAGAATTGGATACTTAGTCCGATTTATAGTATCTAAAGTTACGCAATTTAAAACCATTCCACCCATCTATTCCCATCAGCCAAACAAGAAATAGGGTTCTTTTTTCATTTGATCAGTTTATTAGTATATTCACTTATACAAAATCGTACCTTTTGCTACATTTTATTTTTATTTCGCTATTTTATGTTCATCCTTTTATCTTTCATATGTTAACAAATATTAATAAAACCTTAAAGTTTTATTTATGAATCTAAGTTAATTTAGGTTCTTTGGGCGCTTTTAAAAATAATATAGTTTCCAACTAGTTCGATATAACTTATTGCTGTAAAACTATGAAAATTTGAATGTTTGAATTCTTCTGGGATTTGATATTCATGGCTTGCTGGGCATAATTTAACCCCAAAACAAGTCAATGACGACATCACAATATTACAGTAGAACCTCAATAACATGTATAATTTTCAATTGAATTTTTTTGAT